AAGCTTCATTAAAAAATAAAATTTTTCTTTAAAATTTTGTGTAATTTATTTGGGCCAATCAAATTTGTTTTTTTGCGCGATAAAATCAAAATATGATCAACGAAAATCATTACCAATTATAAGGATGTCCATTATGCTCCCCTTTCCCTAATTACAGTCAGGAATTTTGTTAAATTTGGTATTTCTTAATTTATAAATGATAAACATTCGGAATTTCTGGAAGAAATTTCGGAAGAAATTTGATTGGCTTATTCTATGCAGATCATTTCATTAAAAACAATCTAATATTTAAATATTAAAGAAAAAGAAAAAGATGGTGAGAGCTTTATTAACTGGTCATATAACTTCTAAATTGTAGGATTAATAATGCATGTTTTCCTCCTTTCAATTCATACATTACAATAATTTTGGCAATACAGAATTGATTTTTAGTAAAACAAACAAATAAACATTTCTATCTAATGGATTGATTTCTGAACATCCAATATTAAAACCTAAATTACAAGGATTTTTTTGTTTAATAAAAAAATTAAATGAATTAAATAATGAAATAATGAATTAAATTAATAAAATAAAATATCACATTGTATATTGTTATTGGCATGGAATATATTTAAAAGTAGATGATGTGGCATATTTCTGTATTTTATTGTTTAACAATAAAAATTATATACCATACTGATAGCACCTATAAATCTTTTATTCTTTTCTAATTTTTGCAATTGTAACAGATTTGTGATTTATCAGGCATAAATTTAAAATAACTTGTACTTTTAACATTTAAAGTATCCTTTTCCAATAACCACTTAGCATTCATACATAAATCTTGTTGGAGTTGTAAATTTTCTTCTATTAATTTTGTATAAGAAAATGAATTACCTTCAAAAAATTTATTTGAAAACAAAGTTTTAGTAGCTTTGATAATACTCTTGGAACCATCAAATTCAGATGGGCTTTTCATTGCATAAGTTTTGATTTTATCATTAGTAAGACCAATGCAAACTTTTGCTTTTGACAAGTTGATGAATTATCAATAGAAAAAAATTTACAAACATTATATTTTTTGTACATTACTTAACTTCCCCCATTATTAAAATATAAAAACATAGTGAGTATATTTTTTGTTATATGGTTGGCTTGGTCTAAAGGCCTCCTATTGCTGCGCCATATGGCCAAATTTCAAAATATGGTGCAGATCATCTATAATCATTAATTGCTTTAGTAACAATTGATCAACTTCAAAACACTAAAACAAAAAACAAAAAATATCATTTTAAAAAATTTAACCAATAAGTTTTATTGTTCATGACTCAAGCTTCAAAATTTATCAGCTGGTTTTTTCTTAAACTGAAAATTGGCAGAGCCTTAGCATTTTGAA